ATGGACGGTTGCCCGGTGTCAAACTTGGCGCCAAAGTGACCCCGATTTTTCGGAGGGTCGGTTACCTGCTGTGCGGGCTATCTGGGTATAGCCGGGCAATATTTTTGGGTCAGTATTCCGGGCGGTGGTCGCTAAAAATTGAACTGGCTACCGTATTCGACGCTTATTCGTCTATTGGAATTTAGCGGAAATTTCTAAACTGCGTCCAATCAACATAGCTATTCTGCAACCAAGCTACCGTCGTCCAGTTCCGAGCTATCTCGGAATTTGTCTAAAGCCAGACCTAACTACCGTATTCGTCTGGCTTCCTAAAACCTGCGCTTTTCATCGTGCATCCAGCTCATCTATTCGATTTTTCTTCCTCCCCAGCTACCTTATACTGTATTCCGAATTTTTCCCAAATTTTGACTTAACGATTTCTGGTTTCCTAAAATCTGCGCTACTTACCGTAGTCTGAGATCCAAACTACCCTGGTAACACGATCTAGACAACGATCCCTAAACCCTGACCCACCTACTGTACCCGAGACTCCGCAACGATCGTATTGTTGCCCTAAATCTGGCTCGGGATTTGGGCTGAATTCTGGAATCCTAATAATCGATCTCTCGCTATCGTAACCGGCCTTCATTTCTCCAATGATCCGCCAAATCCGGCAATTTCTCCAAATTTGGCCCAGCGACTTCAGCTTGTACACGGATTTGAGGTAGGTGAAAGTACGAAGGGCACTCTTTACGTTTTCCTGCACTCTAACGGATTGAATCTTCCGTAAAATTATGCGCTGGGTAGTTCTGGCGATTAGATGCCAATACGCGCTTTTTGAATACTCAAAACGCATCGATTTTGCATTCAATGCTCCTTTAAACCGTCTTTTCAAGTCGAACTTCTACCTACCCGGGTTTCTTTACCTTTCCAACCCATACTTTACGTTTCATTTCCCCGGGAATCGACCCTACAAAAGCAGTGCAAGGAGGTACCGAAAATTTATGGGCTGGAACGGGCGGGCAACGAGCCGTTTTTAGGTTGAAAAGGTACCGGCTATTTATGGGGAGCCGATTACCATCCAAGTGACCTCGGGAACCCCTCGATTAGACGAGAATTTTATGGGCATCGCCTGGGGCAAGGTGAACTTTTGAATTGGGTTGTGGAACAGCTGTTGCTCCTTTCTAGACCTCCTTTGTTTTCGTAACTTTCCGCATTGCGTAAAGAATCCATGCTAGGGTGCCCTAAAAACTTTTTGAGGGCGAAGCTTATGGTATTTTTTGATTCCGTATTTGAATTCTTTTAGTTCATTCCTTTAAACCTGGACCGCCAGCTTAAGTAAGTGCGATTTGGACAAGATTTTGAGTTTGATCTGTCCCGTTCCGCAAAGATTCTTTGCTAGTTTGCCTTGGAATTTTCTTCACGATTTAATTTTCCGCGGACAAAATAATATTTTGGAGCTCAACCCATCACTCATCCATCTTTTTCAAGAAATTTGTCATTCTAAGACCGGAATTGATACCAACCTCTGCTAGATTGCCCCAGAAATTTCATATAGGCGTAACGGTCTAGAGCTCCAGCAACCATTAATGCTACTTATTCTAGCAATTTTTCATTCCAAAGCCGGAACCGATACCCTAATTACCTTATCAAATCCGGGTTTGAGCGCTGCTCGACTTGAGAGCAAGCTTCTATTAACCCTCCCCTTTGCCCAAGGTTAACTACAATTTAACACATCCCATTGGCTGTTTTCATATCCCAAAAAAAAACAAATTGAAGGGAAGAATCGAATGGCTAGCCGATTGGCTAGAGGGAAGGGCGCGGTGGAATCGGGGGCAATTGACTTGTCGGCCCCTTGACAAAGCGTGACCGCCCAAGTGTTTCCGAGTGATCGCGATTCCCGATGACGCCTCTACCGCCCTCAGGGTGGGGGATCGGTTCGATACCTTTTGGGTTCTTGAGTTTGGTCGTTTAAAGGCCAATCGGGCCATTTTTCGTGCCGTCGGGCGGGTCCGAATTCACCAAAAATTCATAGGGAATCTATACCATACCTTACGGACACCGTTAAATACCTCGAAGCTTGATTTTTTTCTGCTCAAAGGAGTGCCAAAATCGGCCCTGCCCGATGACTAGGTCTCGACAGCTACGCGTCGCTCCAAAATACGCTTGAACCGTTATGTGTTTTTTCTTCGAATTTACACTACAAGGGCATCCCCCAATAAAATTAAATGCATTTTGGCGTCGCTTGAAGCTTGTCGAGACCTAGTCGGGACAGGTCGATTCCGTGGCTTCTTAGTTCCTTTAAAGGGTGAGCAATAGCTAGAGCAGCACGTATTGCGCACGCCCAAAGATCTGGAGTCGAAAAAACCCACGTTAGACGCTAGTGGCATAGTGGGTTCCCAGCTAATACCCTGCGGCTTTTGGTATGTGGGGCGTAAGGCATGTTAAGGCCCGGCTGGGGTGGGTAGGGAAATTGGGCTTCGCTCCGGAAGCGGCCCCTCTGGGCTTCTTATTGCCCGCTCTCTCTCTCTCTATCGCTCTCTCACCCTCTTTCTCTCTCGCTCTCTCACCCTCGCTCTCACTATCTCTCTTTCTCTCTCTCCATCATCCCGTTAATCTCTCTCCCTTCTCCTTCCGCGGCCGCGGTGGCGGCGCAAATCGTCTCGTACGACACCTCAACGCAAATATTATGCGCTAGCCGATGGACTGGGGCCCCCTTTCGGCTTTTTCCGCTTTTTTTTCAGCCTTTCCTTTATTTTCTTTCCGAAAGCTTTTCTGCTGCTGGTGGTGACACACGTCAATTAGCGGGCCGAAACTTTTTTATGCGATTTTTCAGATTTTATGCGAGCTTTATCAAATTTGTATAACAGAAATTTTAGAAATTTTTCCTCTAGCTTTTCAGGATTTGGTTACGACGGTCATTTGACCTATAGCGGTTCTATAATTATGCAGGCATAATCGATTTCTACTAGTTTATGAAGTTATAGATTTCCAGGATTTCACACCTTTAAAACCAAATAAAACAATCCAGTTTTCTAACGTCACTTCTTCACTTATAATTTTTCAACGCGGTTTTAACGGGTTTTTGAGGAACCGGCGAGCATTTTGACGGAATTTACTTTGTTTGCCGTTTTTCCGTTTTTGTTTCGCCCCCGAATTTATGATTCGCATTTTTCGAATTCATGGCTCTATGTTACAACAAAATGTGGGTCCAGCTTCCGGTAGCTTTTTGTTGACTTTCGCAAGCGTCTTGCAAAATATAGCAACCCAGGGCCGTTTTGATCACGTCAACCGCGCTATCGTTAGAAGACGTATGTAGCTTTCATGGCTTCGATTTTCAAGCTTGTGTATCCAGACATGGCTCCCGGCCGTTTTTGTTGATTTTGCGATTCTTTGTTGCAAACACAGCACCCAAAGACTAGTTTTGAAGCTTAAACGACGCTTTTGTACATCCGTTTCAGACTTTTTTTGGCTTCGAAGGCATCGACTTTTATCAGTTTTCAGTTCCGGCTTCCGGTCGCATTTTCTTGTTGATTTTAGCACGTGTTTTTCCTTCAAAAATATGGCCCTTGAGGTTATTTTTATAGCTTTCCCCAGTTATTTTTAGCCTATAAGAATTCAAGATTTTTAGTAGTACATTTTTTAGTGTCGTAGTTTTCCCATAATCGGATGGTTTTGAGGTATCCATCAAGGTTGAGGCACCCTTTAAAAGTCCAAGTGTGCCGAACCCGCCCAAATCGCAAAGGCGATAAATCGCGTGTGAGTCCGCACCAAGCCATGTCCTTGGAATTCCTCTACTCTTTTTCTTGGCCAGCACTCGTTTCCGGTATTTTTGCTTCTCGGTGCCTTTAATCTTGAGGTCGTTTCCTCGATTAAATTCATCATTGTCTTTCCTTTGCAGCGCTGGCGGCTTCACAGCGGGTGGTGTGCGCTCCTCCTCCTCTCCTCAGGCCGCGGGTGCAGCAGCAGAACGGCACCATCTGATGCCCCATCCACATCCACGGTTATTGCATAATGAGCAGAGGTACGGTAGCGAAAAGGGGCGCAGAATAGGATGGAAGTACTAAAAATGGTTTTAACGAATTTTAACGAATTATTAAACAAATTTTTCATGTTTTTTTTTTGTTGGAATAATAAGCGGACATAAACAGCGGCTTCACGTTTTTTTAATGAGCTAGAAAGGACGCCAAATTTGACGAAATGATCTGCGATAACGTAAGCATGGCGAAAAATGCGAAAAAAAAGATTTTTACGAGTTTTCATCGTTTTTCTAACCGTCTAGTAATTTTTTCAAGTAAAATAGTTTGTTTGCCTGACTTTTGTATATTGAGGGCTTAGATGCGGTAGCAACATCAGCGCATGAGCCTATGATCAGGCAGGGCCTCTTTCTAGCGCTTTTTTGCGGGTCCCACAAACTGACCTGAGTTCTTCCTGGCCCATTTAATTGTTTAATAATAATTGAAACAGTGAAAGCGTTCAATTCTTTTAAAACTTGTTAGCTTAAAGCAGGGACCTGACTTCCTAGCCCCTTTAGTGCCATAGAAAAGTCCCAGAATTGTATTTTTCAGCCGAATTTGGCTGGTTTCTGAGTAGTGGAAGCGGAAAGCAACGGAAACGTGTTTAGTTCCACTGCGTTTTTCCCATAAATTCCTATCAGACGTCTCAGTTTGCCCAGCGGGTGTTTTTCTTTGGAAATGAATGGGCCGATGAAAAATGAGAAATGGGGAAAATCGTCAAAATGATTGATGACTAACGTGGAGAATGATAACAAGCAGCCAGCGGTCCAAGCAGAGAGCAAATAGGCTACGACACGAAATAAATGTTTTAAACGGCAGAAGAACCTATAAAGCTGCTAAAACAGGCCTTATGAACGATCTTCGAACCTTAGACCATAAAAACAGTGCGCTAGTCCCCGTGCCAAAAGTGTCATTTGCAGAGGGACCGTGGCCGCAGCGGCGGCGCCGGCGAAAAAGCGGAAACCTCGGCAGGAGATCTCCGCGTGCCTCAAATGGATTTCCTTCATGTTTAACTTCCTCTTCGTCGTGAGTTTTCTACTTCTTAATTGATTATGCTAACGTAATACAGTAAAATAGTCTCTCTGAGCGTCACCTAATAACAATAATTCGACCGAAAGCTTAAGAGCAAAATATAAGGGATTTAATCGATTACGATACATAGTTAGCGCTCGTTAAGATCATAGTTACCCTTGAATACAATTTTTACAGATTACGATACCAATCTCCATATTTTAGTGGGTGGGCGTCTCCCTTCTAGCCCTCGGCATCTACCTTCACGTCAAGGACCCCAGGCCCATCATCGAATGGATCGACTTCGTGCTCAACCCGGCCTTATTTCTGGCTGTTTTAGGTATGCTTTTATTTATTTTTTGATAACTCCGTATGGCTGTTCTTTACACCTACTGTCACCATCCATTTAAAGTCAAAAACCCATTTTTGCAGGCTTCCTCGTCACGTTCATCTCACTGGTCGGTGCTCTCGGAGCACTTCGCGACAACATCTCATTGCTCAAAATTGTGGGTATACCTTAAATTATACGTAATCTACCGTCAATAATGTTCTAGATACCGTAATCGTTCAAAAAAACACGGTAATTCCTTTTTTCAGTTTGCCATATGCGTTTTCTTCTGCTACATCTGTATCGTGGTGCTGACTTTTGGCGTTTTCGTCCTCTTCTTTACCGATTCGTAAGTTTAAAAAATAATAAGCCTTATGGGATTCAAATTTTCAACTCTTGAGGTGTCACAATGCCTTTAAAACCAAATTCCAGGACCGAGGGCCTCTCTGCGCATTCGATTATGATGCAATCCGTCAAGAAATACCATTCCAACCGTAACCTTGCCGATTTTGTGGACTATATTCAGGAACAGGTGAGAGAGAGAGAGAGAGAGAGAAAGCGAGAGTGAGAGAGAGAGAGCGAGCGAGCAACAAGGAGCCAAAAGGATAGATAGAGGGCGAAAGAGATCCGACAGACAGAGAAAGCGAGCCAAACAAAGAGAGCGAGAGAGAGAGAGAGCCCGAAAGAGACATAGAGAGAGAGAGAGTGAGAAAGCGAGAGAGAAATTCGGCTGTCACGCTCCCTTCAAACCCAACTGTTCAGATGGAGTGCTGCGGAGTCTCTTCCATATCAGCCGGCTACCGAGATTGGGCGATGTCCCCTCAATTCAACTGCACCCCAACAAATCCTTATCCAGAGAAATGTGGGGTCCCGTTCTCGTGCTGCAAGCGATCCGTTATATCTGAAGCGGTAATTCACGTAAATGGGCGGGTAACCTTAAGTTTTAGCTGCAAGCTGGTTCCACCAATCCTCTCCAACCGGCAATGCGGTCGCTGGAGTGTTGGAGGAATGCGCTTTCCAAGGTTCGTACGTTACCATACCTGGCCTTACTGGGATACCAGCATTTTACTGCGCGGTCCGGTTTTCAGTCATTTTGATTAGGTTCTAAAATGTTATACTTTTTAAAATGCGAAATTCAGATGCTCATTTTGAAGGCTAGCTTTATGAAAATCGGAATTTTAGCGACCGCCAGACCTCGAAGCCGATATCCACACGCGGGGCTGTTTACAGCCCTTACGAACACTTTTCGAAACGCATGCGGTTCATATTGGAGCTGTTGTGGCTGTGATATTGTTACCAGTGGTAAGGAACTTAAGTTTTAACAATTTAAAACCTGTTATTTTATGGCTTTTTACTCAATTTTGAAGGTTCGAGGCTCGAATATTGGGTCTTAAAAATTTTTTGTAGATTTCTATAATCTTAATTCCACAAAATATAGCTTGCGTTTGGTTTAATGGCTCAGAATAGAGTTTCAGCAACCATAACACCATTTTTCCAGTCAATCTCGGTGTGCTTCACGAACGTGTTGGCCCGCCAAATCGATCACCAGCGATATTTATTGGAGCGAGAAGCCAGGAGGCTCGATCGGATGGGAAAGAGGGAGAGGAGAGAGCGGAGGAAGAGGAGCCAGAATCACTTTTCGAGCCTCGAGGAGGGTGTTTTCCATCAGGTACGTTCGAAACTGTCCATCTTAAATGGACCGAAAAGCTAGACGTCTATACTGCGTATAACCAGTTACGCTAAAAAAACGCTTATTAGAGCCTAGTAATGCGTGATTCGCGCCCTTCCTAGCGTAATGGTTTTATTTTTAGCTGATTTGGCTGCTAGACAACTCTTTAAAGCGTTCCTAGACTATTTTTTTAGCAGCCCGACGGAGCTCCACCCCTCCCAAAAAGCCTGCCACCAAAACGACCACCAGATGGCCGAAAACCGAGGGCCCAGAGTTGCTCGCCAACCCGGAAGGCATCCAATGGGGTCGTACCAAAGGTAAGTCAGCTGACAAACTAATCAAAGCTCAGTAATTTTTTTCATGACGTAATTGATCGAGCCTGTCAAAAACGTCAGGGCAACCATTTTTTCGCGTAAATCGCTTCAAAAAGCTATGAAATTCTAGGCTAAAAAACTTTCAAGGCTTTTCAAAGCGTAATTAGTTAGCGTTAAAAACTGACCGTATGCCGAAATCTTTTTTACCCAGGTCTTAAAATTACTTTAAAAGGGCAACTTTATATCACAAGCTGCATTATTTGTGTCGTTTCCTAAAAAATTGACGAAAAAAGTGCCTGAATCATTCACTTCAATCACTAAAATCCTGGTCCCCGGTTTTTGAATAACAGTATTCACCCCCAAAAACTATGACAATATCTTGATTTTCTGCCCCACTTCCAGCGATGCTGAAAATAGCCCTCGCACCACCACCACACATGAAACAGTAAGCCCTCCAGCGGATAAGCCTCTTTCTACCGGTTTATCATCACTTTCTGGCCAGCCCGGATTTTCGATGTGAATTTCTCTTTTTTTTGAGAGGCTTTTCTTTTTTCGGCTTACGGTACTCACACATACTACCTCAATCAACGAATTTTCGCAATTTTGGCGGCACGGGCGATCCGGTCAATCCGACCGGAAAATATAAGCCGGAAGCTTCAAGGAGATTTTTTGGGATTCTAAATTTTTGGGCAAAAAAGCGAGGCCAAAAGTGAAAACTACAAGATACAAAGCATAGTGCAGCATAGTAGGGTATGAAAATTCCTCAAGGATATCTGCTAGCTCGCTCTTAAACATTCGTAGGCCAAATCGATCGATCCCACAATGATCCTTGCTGGTTTGCCCTGAAGCCATTTTCGATGTAGAATTCAGAAAGCATTCGAAAATGACAATTTTGCAAGAATCACTTCCCCGGACAAATCTTAAGCTTGATTTTTGAACTTGTTGCAGTAAGAAATCCGGTCTGACCGGCTCTGGAAATAATCCAAATGGACGTGCACTTATAAAAATCGCGGAAGCGGAAGTGAACTTACAAAAAGAGTAGCGATGAACAGAGAAGTTTAAATTCTAGGCTATACGCTTACACACTTAAGACATTTGGCTAGTTTTTACACGAATTTTATAAAAAAAATGTTGTAGAGTAACAAAATTTACAAATAACAAACAAATTTCAACATTTTCTGAAAGTTTTTTAACAATTTTCAAACAAATTTGCGATTTTTCTTGCCGTAAACCATAACAAAACCTACTAAAATTTATGTAAATTTCCGCTTCAGATCGCCCCGCCCACGTCGTCGAAGAAGGAGAAGCGGAGGAGAAGCCAGCCACCGAGCGTCGCTGCCGGAACTGACCGGACCCGACAATGGGTGCTGCAGCAGAGCGATCTTGTCTCCACCCATCCAGATGGAATTCAGAATCCACCGATTCCGGTCGTCCCCCTGGTTCCGATTATTCCCAATTCCGGCCCAACTGCTCCTCCCCAGCAGTAGGGTACGGTAGCTGGGGTGACATATATGGAAAAACTGGCTAAAAATGCCGTTTTTTACGGTATTCGGTGGATTTTGGCGTTTAAAAAAACCGGAAAATTCATTTTGGACATTAAAAATCAGCCTAAAGCAAAAATATGCCGTTTTTCGCAGACTTTAGCGTTTAAAAAATAAAAATATTTTGGCCAAAAACCCGGAAAATTCGGAATCGACATTTTTAGGCCATTTTTCTAAATATTGCCCCATTACCGTAGTCCCGGCTGTTTCTTCGCCCTGCCTTTCTCCATTTCTCACGCTATTTTCCGTCCCCTTACGATCGACTATGCCATAGACGACGAATATCCGAAGCCTCTGCCTGAGCCTAAGCATAAGCCTAAGCCCAAGCCCAAGCCCATTCCTCATTCCGCCAAATTCGATATTTTTCAATGTTGCGATTTTCCAGTCAGCCCTCCTCCTCACCCCCGTTGTGCGTGTATTTTGTACATTTTTGCATTTTTATGACGATATTTTGAATTTTTTGCTGCTCATCGACGTGGCCAATGCACTCAATGAGATGATACCTTACCGATACATACCTTACCCCACCACCACCACCGCACTTTCCGCTTGAATCCTATGGACTTTCCGCGCGCGATCACTTTCTTTCAATTTGTATGCCATGTCGGGTCTTTGCATTAATAAAATGACGACCTTTAAGGGGTTGTATCCAGGAAAATCGCATAGAAAGTTTAAAGGCACATGGAAGTGAGTAAATCGACCCTTGGGTTCGACTAGGCCTCGACAACCACGAGATGCGCCAAATGAAGCACGCACGAGAGAGAGAGCAGAAGGAGCGCGAGAGAACTAGAGAGAGAGAGAGAGAGAGAGAGAGAGAGAGAGAGAGAGAGAGAAAGAGAAAAGGAGAATTAGTGCGAGAGCGAGGGAGTGACAGAGCGAGCGAGAGACAGAGAATTAGGACGAGAGAGCGAGAGAGTGTGTGTGAGACAGATAGGGCGAGAGGGGGAGGGAAGCCAGAGAGAGAGCCAGAGAGAAAGAGAGAGATGGAAAGCTGGAGAGAGAGAGAGAGGGGAGAGAGTTAGAGGAAGTGGGAGAGAGGATAGAGAGCGAGAGAGGGAGAGAGGGGGAGGGAGAGGGGGAGATGACGAGAGAGACCTTTTGCCGCTAAATTTGCATATTTGTCTGATTGCGGAATTCTGTCCCGGGGGTATTACCGCTTCCACATTTTTTCCTGCAATTCACCCCTTTTTATTTTCGGCCTGACCTATCCGCAGCGATGGCCACCCAGTGGGAAAACGTGAGTTTTCGCGAATGGATACGGTTCCATCCACTTTTCAGCTGGATGAGCTTGCGATTATGGAGCTAATGATGCCAGTCACCCAGCGGATTGCCCACTGGCTTGGCCCCGAGGTAGACATCAGAGTTTGATACCTCAAAAAACCGGTCTAGACTCCTCCTTTTCAGGGGCAACAGGAGTTGGCGCGTGGGGGTCCCACCACCTTGCAGCGTTTCCACGGTGATGTCAATCACCTTCAGCAGCTGGAGGACGCGGTAGCGCGGTTGAATTTATGCCTTCAACTTGCCGACATTTTCAGCGCCACCAGTCGGTGGAGCGCGAGCTCGCGCGCTACGAGCGTGCCCATCGTTTGGGTCTGCTGAAAGAAGAGTCGGTGATGAAGTGGCACGGGGAGGATCCGAAGGTCGGTAAACCGTCCTACAATCCTTACACATTGTCTGCCAAACCTTTTCAAACATTTTTACAGCCATCCGAAGCGGAGAAGCGCGCGAAGGAGGATGATGAGCGCCGCAACGACAAGGTCAACGATGATGCCCCGACCACATCCGCGACGCGCAAATGAACGGTCCCAAACAACGTCACCTAATTTGTGATTACTTTTACGCATAATTCGATCCATGGTGGCGCAAAAAGTTTGAAAGTTTCAAGTTTTCTGGCCACGTCGTATGATAAATTCCATAATGCATGGAGGTTCCAGTTTAACAAAATGACCATGAAAAATGCAAACCCGCAGCGATACGCTTGTGCGTTGCGCGTGCGCGTGCGTTGCGTGTGCGTTGCGTATGCGTATGCGTACCGTAAACTCCGGTGTACCAGAATTAATTCTATCAATCTCTTGCCACGCCCTTGCCTTGAACGCCACCTTCTCTTCCAATTAAAGCTGTTGTTTTTCCACTGAACTGCTTGAACTTGTTGGGAATACTTTTCTCTCGATACGAAGGTTGCCAAGTCGGCCACGATAGATTAAAAAGACGGTATTTATGTAGACGTTGCCAGCCTGCTTAGACACCTACTATATATAAAAAATTAGTGTCTGTGTGTGTGTGTGTGTCATTGCATGCACTTCCGTCACCGTGTTCCAGTATTCTCAGGGGTACTTGGGTTGTTCGTGTCATTGGGCGTTGGTCTGGAGTGACTGCACATCTCGTTTTACAATTGTGTTTTCGCTTTTGGTTTTCATGGAATCGGACACCCCAATTTGTTAGGATCAATTAGCATCACCGAGTCGCGGTAGCCTATATAAGGGACGGCAGGCATTTTTCATTTTTCGTCATCCGAATTCGGATTTGCACCAGAATTCATTGGGAAGGGGGCCGGGTTGAAAGCCGCGAAGCGGTTTTTCAACCCTGGTTAGAGTATAAAAACGGCTCAGGACTTAGCCGATCACCTTTAAATCCTTGTAATTTCAACACAGTAATTTCCCTGTCACCTAAGTTCCATAAATCATTTTTTAAGATTTATATACACAAAGAAGTCTGTGACGCTGATTATTCGGAAGATGAGGGGCAAGGGGGAAACAACAAAACTTTATCTTTTGCGTGGTTCTTTGAGACTCGCAAGGGATAGACGGGAGGATGAGATTTCGGGGGCTATTTGATGACTTTGGAGGTGTCGCTGGGGTGGTAGAGTAGCGTTGTGTCGAGTTGATGGAGTGGCCATGGTGCCGGGCGGTATTATGCACACTGCATACTGCGCTGACAAATCTCTGAAAATGTGGGATGAGAAAAGCCTAAATATCTCTAGTTTGAGAAAGCTCTTTCGATTTCATCTTTTAATTATCTGGCAAGTCTGGATTTTAATATTTTGACGTCAAAACTCGGCTTGGAATGGGATCTTTGAGATCCTGAACGAGGCATGTTAGCAGAGATTTTTTGAGAAATGGGGCAAACCGCTTTAGAAAATTTCACAATACAATGTAGGTAAGGCAGGCTAGCAGGGATTCTTTGAGAATCTGGGCGCGGCAGACCAGCGGGGATTCTTTGAGCTGCTGACGAGAGCTAGCTAAGAGATTCTTAGAGCTTATTGGCGGAAAACTAGCAGCCTACTACGGTGAGGCGAACTAGCAGAGATTCTTTGGAATTCCAGGCGCCGTAAACTAGCAGCGACCTTTTATGCTTAACAATCCGGCGGGGCAAGCTAGCAGAAAGTCTTTGATAACTTTCAGATTGAAATCTAGTTAGGCGAACCAGCAGAGATTTTTTGCGACATTTTCAGGGCATGCTAGGAAAAATCATTTGAGTTGCTCGCAAAGAAAGGTAACAGAGATTACTAGGGAACATGCTTAATATTTGCTCACTATTAAAGCGGCGGCAGGATAGCCGAGATTCTTCAGGATTTCCAAACCCCTAGGTATCAGCTTTGTAAATTCCCCTATGATCTCCGCCAGCACACCCCTTTTTCAGTCCTTCGATTGAATTCACAAAGCCTTTCTACCAAAATGTAAATCCAAATCTCCTCAAGTTCATAAAAGACGTAAATAGGTGTCTAGCGTAGTTCCATATCGAAGAATCGGATTTACAATCGCAATTTCGATGAAAATCCGCTCTCCAATACACTGATCCAGCTTTGTTTTTCACATTTCACGATTGGGCTGTGCGTGGGGGTTTTACAAAAGTCATCCCCCCCGACCCCGGGCTGTAAATAGGTTTGGGATATTATTTGACTGGGGTTGGACAGTAAATACTCCCCCAAATTGCCCATTTGACGGTGGTTGACCAAAGTTCTGTATTGTCGAGAGTGAATTCGGAAATTCCGGAAATATCGGATGGGGCTGAGAACCTACCATTAGTGCAGCAGAGTGTTGGCGCGACGCAGAACCCGTTGTGCATTAGAATCTGGAAAAATTGATGATGATATGGATATAAAAGAGTTAATAAAATTATAACCGTTATTTTTAGCAGAGTTTAGGTACTGTTAAGTCTAAAAATTAATGTTAAAATCGCTAAGAGTTACCGAATTCGTAGATAGACATTATCTAGACGGCTAGTAAATCTGGAAGTACCTGGCCTTTTTCTTGAAAACTTCTCTTGCTTGAAAATCCAAATTTTAGCCTGCTTAAAGGGATGCCCAATGTTTTGGCGGCAAATATATAGTTATGTATTCGGGGGGGAGTCGAACCCATGACGTCAATTTTGTGCGGTACATGGATGCTCAGTGCCGCACGGAGTCCGGCCTCCTATCCCCCGGGGGGCCCCCAACTCGACCAGAGGGCCTTGCCCACTATGGCACCACTAATGGACGCATCGTCTTGGCGCGGGGTCTGGGGGCAGCCCCGCCCGCGTGCAGTCTGCGCTTTTGGCCCATCGTTCTGGTAGCCTTTAAATGAGAAACAATTATTTTAAATTACATTTTGAGTTCTTCGAATTCTAAGCGATTTCGTGCTAATGGTTTTTGCCTCCACAATACCATATAAGGGCGCTAATTTTTGCATTTGTTAAAACTATTCAAAGTTTCCGAACCGGGAACAGTATCTCTCAAAAACGCCGTACCTTGCAAAACCCAGATGGGCAAATGTCGCGCGACGTGCATTCTGGCGTCTCGAAGCATTTGTTATGCACGCAGCACTGGCCTTCGGACGTGCAGATGCCCGCGTGGTGGTCGCCTGGAAGCAGGTTTCGCATTTTAATGTACAATCTGAACGCTGTTGTTCCCACTTCCAAAGGGGTGGACGGTTACGACTATGAACACCTGCGTATCTCAGTCTTTTAGCGTAAACAGGTGTATTTGTGGTCATGGCTGAACGTGAGCTTTAAGAGTTCTCAAGGTGCCTACGGAGAGTACAGGACGTAGGTAATTCGGCCCGGGGCCCCGCCCCCGAAATAGGCCGGGGCAAAATTTCAAAAGGGGGACCCTAATTTCTTTCATTTTGGCGGCGCCGTTTTTCACTTTTTTAGGCCTTGGGGCTCTTTTTAAAATTTTTCCTGCGGCGCTGTTTCGTTAATGTTTGGAGATTGGAATTTTGGCGCCCCGAATTTTCCTTCCCGGGGGGTAAGTGGCGAAATTAACTATAGCTTACCACATGAAGCGCACTGCACCGTGCGTCCATACCGCCGGTAGGGGCACGAATTGAGGAAACAGCCGTGGACTGTGGAGACGAGCAGACACAACAGCAACAAGTACACGTTTAACTGAAAGGAAGGGGTAAGTTGGTGATAACTTCTGCTTACAAAATTCGTGGCCTCTACCGCGTAAAAATCTGACCCGGCCACGTCAGTTTCTCTAAACCCACAAGTGACCACTGCTAGCCTATCGCTTCCTACTCCGGTATAAAGCACTGCTGCCGCTCGAATTCATAAAAACAGTGTTTTCAAGGCGCTTAGAAGTCCCGAAAACGGGCAGCTAAAGACTACTGGATGCAAAAGTATTAAATCCCTGACTCTTCAAGCCCTTCTTCAGCTTCAAAGTACACTTAGCGCCTGTTCGAGGCCGTTAGAATCTATCAAATCAATAGATAACCCGAATTCCATTTTCGACATCAAAATTTGGGAGCTGCATACTGAAACAACTTTAAAAGTCCTTTTTAAAACAACCTAAAACTTTCTGTTGCCCTCCGGCAAAGCTTTGGAGTCTACCTATGGGTTCCAAGTTGATGATGATATGGATGAAGGTTAAAATGCCTTGAAAACATCATTTACCTGCCGGGTAGAGGCCATAAATCCTGTGAACGGTAGGCGACGTGTCGGGCCTTCCGTGGGGTAGAGCAGCCGAACAAGAGTCTTCTGGAGGATACCGGAGAGACGCTTGGGGGCTGAAAGTGATGGTGGAATGGGGCGGGGAACTGAAGCTTTATATGATCCCGCCACCGGATTGGCCCTCCCCTCTAGAAGACGTCAACCCGAAGGAGGGGGAAAGTCACAAAAATATTGGGATATCGGGGAGAAAGAGATGAGAAAGTCGGAGACGGCGAAAAATCCAAAGCCGGCTTAGTCCCCGGAGAAAGAGGGGTGCTGGATCTTATTGGAATTGGCTACCCGGGGGTCTGTAGTTTTAAAAGCACCGTAATACGGGGAGGCGGCCTTCTCGGAATTTGGAGCGTCCCGGAACTGGGTTCGGGTTAGGAAAATTGAGAGTGTCAAAAGTGACGTGACGGGTTTGGCAGAGATGACAGATATTCGTAGAAAACCGTAAAATGTGCAAATATTATTTTGAATAAACTCTCTTTTAATAGAAGCTTTAATTAAAGGGAACGGGATATTAGGAACTTTTTTGAAATTGGCTTCTTAGCGCTTTGCCTTTAACTTTCTGCCGCGTTTTGGAACTCGGCAAACTCTCAGGGATCTTTAAAAGACACCCAGATTTCCGGTCTGGGCAAGCTAGCAGATAACTTGTAGGGAAGCTCTGAGCCGTTGGTCTTGCGCAACTAGAAGCGGCCGTTCAGGAACCGCAACGTCTTGCGCAAAAGAGAGGCATGATAGCAGAGACCTCTTAGTAAAAAGTCAATATACCACGACCAGCTAGCAGATAGACCGCTCAGCTAATGAGCGCAAGCTTGCAGAGATAATTTAGGAAAAATCTTAACGCGAAACAGACGGAACTGGATCGGAAAATTTATCCAACTCGGAAGAGCAATCTCGCATAGATATTTTCGGAATCAGGGGCCACTTGAATCGAGACAAGGCTCCTTGATCGCTTGGAGAGTTTATAGCGAGCCAGCAAAGGTTTTTCCGAAAGCTTTCGAAGTACAACTTATATTGCAAGGACTAAACCCGTGTTGTCCGGCAAAAATTCCCAGCTGCTTCGTTTCGAAAGCACCAGGACTTACGGGAGTTCCGAGAATCGTTACCGGGTTTAGAAAATGATGGCAGATCACCCGGGGGTGGGGGAGGATCAGATCAGGACCAGCTTTGGATAACCTATCCCCAGGATCAGGGCTAAAAATGGACCTCCCAAAGGGTGGGAGGTTGAGACAGGATTGACGGTAATCCAGGCGGGTTTTAGCGCCCACGTGGGGTGTATCCACACATCGTCGGCTTGTAGCTAATCTATTGTTGGGAAATAGGTGCAAAGCGGAAGTGGGTTTTGAATGAAAGGAGGATGAGCTGGATGGGATTGCAGTTGTTATGGAGGCTAGACAGGAGAACTTGTCAAGTTTGATCACGAATATGTTGCCGTACTTCCTCGCAGAGAGAGAGAGAGAGAGAGAGAGAGAGTGAGAGAGAGAGAGAGAAAGAAGAGAGAAGTTTCCGTTTCTCTGAATACAAAAAGATCTGTTTCCGAAGCCATACGAGGTAGACAATTTGCTCTCGGCCAGACTAGCGATCAAATCACAAGGATTATAGCGGAGATTTAACGATGGCAAGTTCCTGAATTGCACGTATCCCGTATTTCTTATCTTAATAAGTCAATACAAGCGTTTCCCTTAAAAATTCTAGATTGTCAAAAACACAGAGCAATTTTTGGGTTAACTGCCTATGGTCTTACTTGATAATTTAAGTAAACGTCTCTGAAGGATTAACTTTCCTTAAAAACCGCTTCAGATTTTGCGATTTGTTAAAACTCGTCTAGGCTACCGTAGCCTCAGTATGCGCTGCCAAAAGGCCTAAAATCCACGGGGTTCTGGCAGATGAGAATCTTTTTTGCCGTTGGATTTGCACTAATATGCCGTATCCTTTGACGTTAATGCGGTAAACGCTGACATTCCCGTTAAAATCATTAGTCTAGAAAACTTACCTATGAGTACCACCCGCAAAAAAATTAAAAATGGAAACAGCTTACAAATCGCTAGAAGCGCCTGATTATTTCCCTGCACTAATAATCCTGATTCTTGACGTGAATCGGGATAATTTTTAAGCAAAAAACGCAATTTGCGTTGGGTACTGTACTGTACTCATAAAGGAGGGATTTATGCTAAATCGCAGATGCGACGCAGACAATCCTGCTGCCTGCGTTTAATTCTGGATTTGTCGATGTCCTTTCAATCCTGAATATGGGAAATAATTTTGTTGGTTTGAAATCTGTCTATATCTATCTCTTGCGCCGTCTCTCTCTCTCTCGCTCTCTCTCGCTCTCTCGCTCTCTCGCTCTCATTGTTCGGTTTTTCCAGGGACTGTGTACTTTTTGCCTGCCCTCCACTGGGTATCGGACAAACGATAACGCTTGATTACTATTCACGAAACAGAGAGAGCGAGAGACAAAGAGTGAGAGAGGTTGGAACAGAGAGAGAAGGGGAAAGAGAAAGCGAGATAGAAATTTTAGACGTGAAGAAATCTTTTGAATTCTAGCTGCTTCTGAGCTTTAAGAACTACAAAAAAGTGATCAATCTCCTTATTAAGTGGCTTGAACCCGACTTTCTAGGAAAAACTGATCCTGACAATGGCGCGTTTTCCGAAATGACGTCCCCCCTTGATGGGCGATCGTTTGCACGTTCATTGCCGTGGCGTGTCGGCATCAAAAATGCAACAAGTTGTAAATTGTTGAGCCGGGATTGCGGGGGGCGGTGGTTGGTCATGTCATGGAAGCACTTTTTGGCCCCGGAAAGAAGCTCGGATGAGGGCAATTTTTGGGCATGCTTTAGCAGGGAGTAGAATGGGGTTCAGTCGACTGGAAGACACATGCACAAGAATAAATCGAGTCAGATGTTTCTTTGATAGAGGGAAAGACTAGAGAATAGGTGCAAAATAGCTGTCTCTCTCTCACACATTCGCTCATCCCCTGTCTCTCACGCTCTCTAGCTCCCGCATCCTTTGGCTCGGCCTATCTCTCCTTTTCTCTAACCCTTTCGCGGTTTATCTCTCTTCTCTCTATCTCTGGCTCTCTCTCTCACCCACTCGCACTCTCTATCTCTCGCATTCTCTCACTCACTACTCACTCACTCTGTTTCTACCCGTTGCTCATGACACGATAAAAACAAGTTTATACACGTAACGAATCGATACTAAATGCTCCAATAATTCCGTAATTTTTTTCAAGGATCCGGCTCGATACCCTCCCGCTTGGCGATGACGTGCACAACCGCGTAGATGGCCACAGCTATGGCTGTGATTCCGCCCATCAATAGCCAGACGAAGCCCTAAATTCAGCGGCTTCGGAGTTGCAGTCTGTATTTTCCGAAATGGGCATTTGGAAACACTTACGATCAGCTGTAAACAAGCAAACTTACCATATACCAATCCACCGTAGCGGTGTAGATGTTCTGAAGGATTGCCGTCTGCGCGATTCCAGCAAGTTTTTGCGCGATCGAGCTTACGGCGAAGGCTTTGCCGATCTGAAATAAACGGTTAATTAAGAGGTCCAGAATTCGTGTTTTTGCTCTGTTTCTGTCTCGCTGTCTCTCCCTCAATCCTCTCTCGCTTAATTCTTAGAGCTTCGGTGTACCCGTAAAGGAGCAGGCAAAGCAGGCTTCTAGACTTTTTGGCTATGAATTTGCCGTAATGTTCCGTCTCGTAATACGCCACGTGCCTCACTCCATTTAATTGCGTCACGTTGCGTACCTATTTACATGTCGCGTTGCATATCGCGCTACATGTAGCGCTACGTGTAGCGATGCGTACCGCGTGATAGGTTGCGTTGCGTATCGCGCGATGCGTCTCGTTGCGTGGCATCTCCATAGAAAATCCATGGAAACGCCACGTCCAACAAAATCCATAGCCCAGCGTTGTCTGTCCCTTTAAAAGCCATTTAATCTTCAGATACCTCATGACCTTTTCATCCCGTTTCATCCGGTAAAAAATCTAAATCCCTCCCTTGCTTCCATTTCGATTAGCCGCCCTCAACCCCGAGCTTATCCCCCCCCCCCCCCAGAATCTCACCTCGTTCTGCTCAATGAGACAGCTCATGAAGGAGTATGTGAGTGGGTTGAGGAGTCCGTGGAGGGATCCAACCGGCAGCGAGGCGAAAATAACCCATGTCACTGCAATGATGGGTTTATTATGGTTATTTTTGGTATTGTCAGGATTTCTAGGATAGAATGAGATGCATTTTACATCATCCGGCCTCTGGAAAGGTCCAGATTGTTGTGGAAAAATGAAGATTGAAAAAGAGAGAGAAAGACAGAGACAGAGACGGTCTCACTTCGAAAACGCTTCAATGAAAAACAACTCAATTGAGGCCAGCTGGGTGTAGATGAACCGGAAAATGTTAGGGATCAGCCGGCTACCTGCGTGTTTTGTAAAAAGCGAAATGACACGACATCACCTTTGAGTTGTGAAAAGGTGGAAAGTTGTGCAGGGTGAGTTGGGATCTTTGGTATAGAATGTTTGGTAGAAATGGCACCAAGGGGCGAATTTTTTCCAATTTTCTTTTGATCAAAACTATCGCTGGGTATGATGAAATTTGGGTAACGGGATTATGGCTTGAATTCAATTTCCGATTTCGATGAATTTCCGCTTTTAAAGTTAAATTTTTTAGAAAATTCCGCTATAGAGATCCGCAGTTTTTACAAGAGAAGTCGTTTTTCAGAAGTGAGCATTTTTTTAGGTTTTTGCATCTTTTGGTAGTTCAATGATTTTAAAAATTATAGGGGCGAAAAGGTGTCTGAGACAAGCTAAATTAAACAAGAATTAACTTACTGTGAGCCAATCCAATAGCCACAGCGCAGAGTCCCATACTGGCGATGGCAAACGTGATGACAAGTGAATCCCGGAGCCGGAAGAGCTTTTTGAAGAGCAGCGTCCCCACGAAGAGACCGATGATTTCTGAAAGGTTCTTTTAGCCTTTTCCATGACTCTAATAACGTTTTAATCCTGTAGATCCACAACACATTAATAGCGCAAAAAGATGGCCTCGCGCCTGACGCAATTCATACTTCCTAAGTCCTTTAAAAAACACTCACGAACTATCGGCCGCCAAGATTTGTACTGTGCGTAGGTGTGCGTGTCCCAGTTGAAGGGTGATAGTCGAGTGTAGGTTCCGATGAGACCTGAAAAAGTAGAGGTACGACCATCTCTCTCTCTTTCTCTGTTTCTCTCTCTCTCTCTCTCTCACCCTCACCTTTCTCCTCCCCAAAAACGAATTGATCCAGGAAATTGGCCACGAAGCATAGCCACAAGAAAAGTCGACGGTGTCCCTCTCGGGGTCGAAAGAAGATTTTCACGGACTCCCACAACGAGACGAAGGAGCGCCCGGCTACCTCAATGACGTTTTTCCTGAAAAATCACAACTTTCATCAGGTATGGTCTTTTAAAGGGCCAGGAAGGCATGCTAAATTTCCAGCAAAGAGTCAGGACGTTTAGACACAATTTCCGAAACATACGGTAATTTTCAGCTCTGTCATGATCAGCTTATGAATTTTTGCCTCTCTAAGCCCTTTAAAGGGATTGGCAAGACACGACTATGAACTTTCGGTCAGGTATCCTTTATAAATTTTTTCGCACCCGAAACACGCAACGCGTCAGCGAAACAAGGGTTTTATTAACTACGAATTTTAATTTTCCATACTTTTAGCTAGGTTTTAGAGTAGCGCGAGGTGCGCATTGCGCGTTACGGCGCGGAAAGAACCTTAGGAATCCATAGCCAAATATCCATTTTCATGCCTCGCCTCAATTTAAGGCTCAACTAAGCGTTTTCTAGTTTTACCTAAACGATTTCTTGCCTTCTGTTGCCTTTCTGAAGTATTTTATGGTTGTCATCAGGTAAAAAGCGGCTTGGGGGCAATTTGGTGACTTACGGGGGCGGCACAATCTCATCAAGGCTGGGATTTTCTTCCTGCTGGAGGGGGAGGGCGGCTGGGATACGGTTGTCGATCAGAAACAAGCCGAAGAAAAAGGAGAAGACGAACACTCCTGGAAAGCGGATTACGGTAAGTTGCGAGAAAAACAAATGGGTTAGCTAAGTGAATGTTGCGCTTAAAGGTTCTACCCACACCCAGGGACGTAGCGTAAGGTGGGCCCAGGGACGTAGCGTAAGGTGGGCCCAGGGACGTAGCGTAAGGTGGGCCCCCTGGGCCCGGGCCCCCGAAATCGGCCGGGGCTCGAAAATTTCATAAGGGGGGACCCTCAGGATTTTTATTTTCTCAAAAATTTTGCTGCCTGCGGCGCTATTTATTCACGTTTTTACTGCTATTTGTAGAGCTTTATAGCTTTTTTTCCAAACTTTTTCGCCTGCGGCGCTGTTTTCTCGTTAAGTTTTTAGTTTTTCGAAAAAATTTTTCGGGCCCCCGAAATTTTTTTCTGGCTACGCCCCTGCCCACCCCTAATCCTGCTCTGGCTCTATAGTAGAGAGCAGGGGGGGCAGTGGGCTAAAATATTGGGAAAATGATGGTTATAAAGACAGACAGAGAACAAAACTCGAGGGATCTTGGGAAAATACATGTTAAAGCTCAAACGAGCATGACCAAGATTGAGTCAGAGAGCTATCAAATATAGCTAGGGGAATGAGAGAATACGAAAAATATATAGAGCAAGAGCGAACGAATAATTGCAGAGAGAGAGAGTTACAGATCGACGGAGTGAGCGGGAGAGCAAGAGAGCAAGAGGGGCGAGAGATAGACAAAGAGAGAGAGACAGACAGAGAGGGAGAGACATAGAAGAGAGACGAGCTAGCCTGAGAAAATAGAGCATGAGCTAACGCTATATAGAGAACTACCGAGGAGAAATTAAAAAAAAGGCAAGAAACCTTGGGGGAAAATGTCGAGCGCGAGAAAAATAGAATCGGAGAGCTAGAGAAAACCGAAAGATCAAGCTCGGAAAGCTGCAAAGCTCGAGTGTGAGAGAGAAGAGAGAGAGAGAGAGAGAGAGAGAGAGAGAGAGAGAGAGAGAGTCAAAAGGAGAGAGTAAAGAGACGTACCTTCCACAATAATCAGCATATTAATCTCGGACACAAAATGCAGAAGCCAGTCCGCCAGTTGCGAGCCTCCGAATTGCCCGAGTGAGAAAAGGATCGAGACGACGATCATTCGGACTGAAAGCTAATACGGGCTGCATAATTAGTTTCCGAAGCTGACTAGAAAATATATAAGGTAATTCTTTACTCGAACGACTTGCCGTTTTCTTGTCGGGAAATTGGTCAGTGACATAAGCGTTAATGGCGCTCATCGTCAGGAGAAAATCTCCAAGAAAGCCTGCTAGGGAAGCTGCAGCGAATATCCACTGGAGTGGCCAATCGGTTTCGGGGTGCCTTAAATTCTCGTTTTGAAGGTTAAATTTGGAGGATTAACCGATTACACCATCTTATTAATCTTTGATTCTTAAGTGGATTTTTAACTCATACCATATCAAGATCCGGAAAGCCGTATCGAGCACGACACTCAAAATCCCGATGAGCATGGGCCATTTTCGGCCGTAGTGATCGCTGTAGCCGCCTATAGCTGAGCGTAGACGAGAGGAGAGAGAGTGAGAGAGGGGAGAGAGACAGAGGTAGCACGAGAGAGAGAGAGAGAGTGATCATATTCTCGACTTACCGTATATGACTCCAATGATACATGCTATCGGCAAATTAACGTAATCATAATTCTGATCCCAGAGAACCATCTTCTTGTTGTAGAATGTCTTTTCTTTAGCGCCGGGCGGTAAAATATAAGTCCGTTTCATTTTTGCCTCGCTCAGGCTTGGCGTGACGATTCCTCTAAAAAAATCCTTCAAATATCGATAGAAAAGGCTTAGATTTAGTTAAAACATATACTTTTTAAACATGTGATTGTCTAAGGCTTGATTTCACCTAAAAATTGTGCAAATTGCATAACATTAGAATTTAACGATAAATTACTTGGAAAAGTTTAGATTTTATATAGCCCTAAAAATTGTGAGAAAATACTTACTTTACAGAATTACAAGCCGCCAGAAAGAATATTAATGGCTCCGTCCGAATATCCCATTCTTTCACCTGTTTCCATCCACGTCTGAGCACGGACATCCTAAAGAAAAACAAATTCAAAAAAATCTAAGTTAATTTGCATAAAACAATGAAATAACTAAAATTCCAAGGATTAAAAACATGTTTCGGGGCGCAAAATGGCATTCGAGCAGACGGGCAATAAATCTGCGAGTAGCGCCCCGGCAAAAAGATAACAAGGTCGGGCTGAAAGTGCGGAAACGAGGAGCGTCACAGGTTTTTCTTCGATGCGTAGAAAATCAGGTACGCTTTGCGTACTATAATTTCTTTGTCAGGAAATTCCTATAAGATGGATTGCGGCAAAAAAAAAATTCAAATTTGAAGGACTATTTGGCTTGAGAAATTCAGATCGCAGTGTTTTTGCAGGATGTTCTAAGCAAAAAAGCAAGCCGAAAAATTTCATGAAGCCTACGTTAGACAACGATAAAGGCTTTGCGTACAATGAATATAGATAGACAATTTTCTAAAACTCAATTGAGCTTTGTTAAAACGCATTTTAGACGAAAATTCACACAGCGGGTTCCGGTGAATTTTAAAAATTTAGGTGATTCTAGGATAAATGCTACAGTGGGGCTACGAAAAAATGCATAAAAATATAGCTTCAGATGTTAGATCAGAAATGCTCAATTTCAAATTATAGGAAAGTGATAAAAAAGGGAAGCTTGCTTGTTGGGCTCGTAAAAGTACGTAAAGCCATGGAATTAGGCCAAATCTAGCAAAGTCCAAACGTGATAAATTCGTGGAAAACGATCTCGTAACAAAGCTGGGCGTCAACGAATCAACATTGGGCATCAAAAATGTTCAGGGGTCTTCTTTTCCCGGCCAGGTCGACTCTTTTCCCTTTGTGGGTGTTAATCGGCTGATCGCCATCGATCTTTGGCGAGGGCGCACCTGGTATCAAGATTTCTTGGGATCGAATAGGCATTAATGGAGGTTTTAGCAATTTGTAGTACCTTTTTTTACCCAATATGTGGGTAACGGCGCACTAATGACAGTTTCGCACTAATGACAGTTTCGGGACCTAAGGAAATCGAAAACTTTAAAAAAAGTTGTTAGATTTTCCGAGAATTTTTTTCTAACAATTCCTTTGTAGATTTTGTAGGTTTAACTGCCTGTAATGTGCCAAAAGTGCTAATTTTATGCGGTTTTGTTCAAATATGTTATAAAAATTCATTCAGACATTAAAACAATCGAAAAATCATATCAATGACGATCAGAATCATCTAAATTATAAAAAGTTTCCTACGAAGTTCTCTACAGGAAAAATCGATTGATATGTGACGCAAATTGCCAAAAAAATTATAAATTTTAAATTGCAGCAAAAAGAGCAAATTGAAAAATCAAAAATTACATTTTAATTGAAGCACTTTCGGGACCCGTCGAAAAAAACGAACAATAAATGTCATAGAAAACTGACTTTAAAAACTGAAAATTGGGCCAGAAGGGACAAGCGTGTTCAAGAGGTAGCAGCATTAATTAAAAACAGGAAGTAAAGTGTTTTAAGTATGACTTTCGTGAAATAATTTGCGTGCAATTTTCGAAAGTAATGTAAAAATTAAGTAAAAGTAACCAGACATCTCTAAAAAGTAGTTTTTTTACAAGCGTCCCATATGGATCGGACGGTCCTCAATCTCGAATTCGGCAGTAGCGGCGTTTTCACCCTTTTGTTTGTGGGAGCCATAGAGGAAGGTTAAGGAGGAGAGGGCACAGATGATGACGACGCTCTAAAATATATTTTATTGATTTACCATGCTTACAAAACACTTTTAGGTACCTTTTACAAACGATATCCTACCGTTTCGAGAACGCTACATTTCCGACTTTCTAACACCAACAGCGTCTCAAACAAAATTCGCATATACCTTAGAATTTTTGCTTTTTCGTAACTTACGAAATTACGCTATTTTGCGAGTGGAATACTTTTAGTGGGCTAATTGATAAAATGATGCTAAAAACTCACGTAAGCCATGTATTTTGCGTAGCCAGACTCGCGGACGGCGTCGTAGTCCCAGTGGGTTTCGTCCTAAAAAGATTTGTACAAATTCGAAAGAGACTCTTTAGGTTATAATACTACTATATAAAATTTTTGCAATCCGCTTAAACCTCGAAATTAAAAAAATTACCAAAGCATACCTGTGATTTTGCCACCACCGTAGTATTCCATTCATCCACACTGTTCGACAGCACTTCAATGGCCGCGAGGACACACATGGCTGAAAAAAAGTTGAAATTTAGCAGCTTCTATGTCTTTTAAAGCTTTAAGGTATGTATCTCTAATTGTAAGATGTAATAACTTACTGCAAACAAAGTACAGCGCAGCCGTAAGCCGTTTGTAGGTATAACGGTGGTGGTAGAAAGTGTACATGGCCAAGAGGTTGGTGGCGATCAGGAGCACTAGGCCGATGATACCGATCACGGCTTGTGCACGGTAGTAGTCTGAACAAAACGTACATTATCGGAATTTGGATAATTTGATTTCGGTTTTTAATCTCATGGACTTCAGAAACTTACGCTTCAAGTCCTCACCGGCCAACCGTGTCAGATGAGCTGGAGGAGCAGGGAAGTGTGGGATCCATTCGGCTAAAAAACACAAATTATACCGTATCTGAAAAGAATGAAATACTGGGCTTGGAAAAACTGGCAGAGATTGGTAGGTAAATCAGCAAAATTGTTAGCTTTTGTAGCTAAAAACCGTAGACACAAGCAGAATTCGTTTAGGAAATCACGATTTTGTCATTGTTAGGATTAGAGATTTAGAGGAGCTTTTCCGTCTCAATGAAACGCTCAATATGTTCCAGAACCTGGCAAGCGAGCGGAGATTTTTTAGGATGTTACGCGAAATCCAGTCGCTTTAAGATTTCGGTTCAGTGGTGGCTTCCCTGTCCCCTTAAGACTCACTGATCGGTCGGCTGGTGTTCGTCGTCTGTCTCCATTCGCCCCAGACACCAAGTTCGACGCGTACGATTTCCCAATCGATATTTGTAAAGGTGAGGACTTCCCATTTCGGGATGGCCATCGCCGCTATCAGGATGATGACGGCTAGCTGAAAAAATAGAACAGTTTTCATTTTTTTACGGCGATGGCATTATTTCTCAGCCTTTCGTAATAAACATTTCTATAAGTTGTCGGCCTCATCTTACTAAAGATATCTAAAGTTTAATGTGGCTTTTGAGAGTCAAAAAATTTTAAAACTTTAAAGTTATTTTAAGCATTTCGTAATACGATCCCTGTAAAAACAATGTTTACCACCCGTCTTTACAACCCTCATGACCCGTTTTTGCAGCTTTTCCTTCGTATTTCTGCTGCCCGGCTTTGCGGGTGTAAACAGGCGCTAGTCGGAGCCTCCCCTAACTGACAACACCTGTTCATTATCGGGTGATCGGCTGGATCGACTGCCGCTAGTGTGGAGATTAATTTTCGGTCGTTTTTAGAGCGGGTCTTTGGATAAATAAAGGAATTTCGAGAATAGAAAATCAGTGAACAAAATAGGTTTTTCACCAAATTCAAGAGGCTGATTGCGGATTTATAAATTTAATTTGTTAAAAATAATACTTTAGCACTTACTTAAAACCCGAAACATTCGTTTTACACCGTTTATTAGCGTTTTAAAGATTTTTGGAAACGACTGGCAAATTTTAGCTACAAAAATCAGATTAATTTTTGATTTCGCGAATACACTATTATCCCAATACACCGTATACACCATTTTTGGAAAGGCTTAATTTGCCAAAACACTCACCCAGGCTATTAAACAACAGGCGAACATCATCCTCCTCCGCCTGAGGACGTCCTCGTAGGACCGCTCGTTGAGCACCTGCAAACACAGATTTAATTAACCGAAATAAATAGGTTTTCATATAACTATCACCAAATCATGTTTGATTTTGGAACTTTTGACTTTTAACTAAGAATATCCTCAGAACCTCCATTTGGAGATGATAAATTCCGGTCGCATCTTTTGCATTTCCTAGGCTATCTTAATCAAAAATTCATGGTGTAGCACTTGGAGATGAGGTAAATTTTCTTAGAACTAATATGACGTTGAGATAAAAAGCCGAGAAGCCGAGAAAACAAAGCTTTCTAAACCATTATACAAGCCCAAGCCCAAGCCTAAGTCCAATCCTAAGGAAAACCTACTTGTAAGCCTAGGCCAAAGCCTATGCCCAAGTCCAACCATACCCTGAACAAAGCCTATACGAAGCCAAGCCGAAGCTAAGCTTAAAAGGCCGTTTGCGACAGACGCGAACAAGGCTTGGCACAGTTTTTTTCGACCCTGTTTTTTTGACGCCATCTGAAAGAGCATGGTTGAATAAGTAGGGTGGCATATTTTTGAAAGTTTAAAAAGTTTAATTTTGAGGTTAAAATGGGCCTCAAAGTTGCCGACACCGAAAAAATATCTCGAGAACTGCTTGACAGAATCTTCTGAAAATTTGTGTCAATACCTAATTTGGGGTGGGGATCATTTCTCTAATACATCGCGAAGCTCGAAAATGCCCAGAACATAGGTGTATTGCGTACACAAAACAGTTTTTCCGTTCTGTCCGGAACTGGGCGATCGGGCGGCTCTGTTGATTACTGTAGAAAGATGCGCAAGAAAATTCTACATCGAATGGTGTATCAAACTAGAGCCGCCCGATCGCCCAGCTCGCGCTATAAAGCATTTACTAGGCAAAAATTGGCCCAATAGAGGCTCCGAAAACTTATAAAATTCAAAATAACGAAATCTGAGGCATTAGTTTGCATGTAGTCATCATGCTGAAGACATTGCAAAAAAGAGCAAAAAGAAATTCGGCTTCTGAAAGGGGGCTGGGATTGAACTGGCGCCGACTCTGGATTGGCACGCCGACGCTCTACTCACTGCGCCACAGGGCTCCCAGGCGGAGGGTCCGGGTTCGATTCCGCGACATCGAAAGAAACGAAATTTCTTTTTGCTCTTTTTTGCAAATGCTTCCGCTTGGTCTCTAGATGCAATATGATTCCTCAAAACACCGTATTTTGAATTTTATAGGTTTTCGGGGCCTCTTTTGGGCCAATTTTTGCCTAGTAAATGCTTTATAGCGCGATCTGGGCGATCGGGCGGCTCTAGTTTGATACATCATTCGATGCAGAATTTTCTTGCGCATCTTTCTACAGTAATCAACAGAGCCGCCCGATCGCCCAGTTCCGGACAGAACGGAAAAACTGTTTTGTGTACGCAATACACCTATGTTCTGGGCATTTTCGAGCTTCGCGATGTATTAGAGAAATGATCCCCACCCCAAATTAGGTATTGACACAAATTTTCAGAAGATTCTGTCAAGCAGTTCTCGAGATATTTTTTCGGTGTCGGCAACTTTGAGGCCCATTTTAACCTCAAAATTAAACCTTTTAAACTTTCAAAAATATGCCACCCTACTAATTCAACCATGCTCTTTCAGATGGCGTCAAAAAAAACAGGGTCGAAAAAAACTGTGCCAAGCTATAATGGGGGTTGGTCGGATCCCTCACAAACGGCCTTTTAAGTCAATCAAAACTAAGCCCAAACCTAAGCCCGCGGGAAAGTTAAACTTATAAAAAAGCCCCAAGGAGTCAGCTTACGATCATGAAACTATAGATGTTTTGAGATCGAAATGCCAAAGATGCCAAAATCAAAATAGCTGAGCTTTACTCTCACAATGGCTGTGCTGGGTTCCCATCGAAGCCAAGTGTAAAGCCCTGATGGCCCATATCTCTTCCTCAAATCGGTTAAGGGGGACAAAAAACTCGAGAATGAGCATGAGGGGCACAAAACGGAACACAGACCTTGATGTGGTAGTCCATTGAGGGGGAAGTCTAGCGAGTTTTAGGGCAGAAATCAAGCAACTGATCGGATTTTACGGTCTGGTCTTGGTTCGGGCACTTCGGCTCTGGCTCCTGGACCTCGTGCTCAAAATCTCCGCCCAGGGCCGCTGACACTTGTCAATCTTCTCTCGCTGGTGAGAGATCAGAAAGATCCGGGCAATTTTTGGGCGCTTGGAAAAGGGATTGGGAGCATGTATTTTTAAAATCGTGATAGAATTTGGTTTCAGTGGCGGGCTAGCCAGTTTATATAGCGAAATTTTCCCAAAAAGTGAGAGACTGTATCTCGACTGATCGGAATAATTTTTATACCATTTGAAAGCCCAGGAAACGTGAATTTTTGCGAAATTGAGATGTTCTCATGGGACGGCGACATTCTCTTAAATTTTCGTAAATCTTTCCGCATTTTTTAAGTGACAAGCTCTCAAGTTGTCAAAAAACATTTTGTGCATTAAATTTGCATAAATTTTGCTTAGGGTTTCATCGAAAAAAGGCAAGCAGATATTAAAAAATACGGGTTGTATGAAAGTCCATTGAAAACCACCGAAACTACTTTATGCAAATTCGAAAACAATAAATTTTTCTTAAGATCGACTTTGAAAAGCTTTGTAAAATGCAATAATGAAGCAAAAAGTGTACTATTTTAAGGCAAAAAAGCGGTGTTTTTACGCTTTAAATCGTGTAAAAATTATCACGACAAATCCTACTACATCAAAATATCGCTAAATATAGTTTTCCGACCCTGTGTTTTGCTTTAATATAGATGCTTACCCTTTCTTCATGCGTCAGCCGCTCCATTCTCAAAAAAGCGGCAAAATTAGTCGAATATCTTGTTTAATTAAAACTGTAGCCCCAGTCCAAAGGTCGTTATCGGCTTTAGCGTGCCCTCCGGCTATATAGCCGGGGCTTTTGGCTGGCCCACGGGAAAATTAGCCCACGGCCCAGCGGGGCTCACCCCCATCCGCTGTTGTTTGGCCGTTATGCTACTCCTCTTCTCTGGTCTCTCCAGTATCTTGTGCTATTTCGGGCTTAATGGATGCCTTCTCACCACAGCAATGGGGTCGGTCCGCACATGTTCATGATCCCCTAGGGCGCTAGGGCAACGGGGGAGGTCAAGTTTTAGAAAACAGGGGAGAACAGGACTTTTGGGGTTCAGAACGGCTTGGAAATAATTTTTATTGCTTTAGAAGCAAAAGAGAAAGCGAGGGAGAGACAGAGAGGGTGAAAGAGAGAGAGAGAGAGAGAGAGAGAGAGAGAGAGAGAGAGAGAGAGAGAGAGCGAAAGAGAGAAAAACGTGATATTAGGGAGCTAGTGAGTTGTTGAGATGTTGTTAAATCGCAAAATTAGAAAAAAGCGAGAGAACGAGAGAGACGGTGACAGAGAGAGCGAGAGAAAGAGATCGAAAGATCGTGAAAAATTCTACGGTTATATGAAGGCAAGCCAGCAGAGATCCCTTGAGAATCCGCTTGTCGTTAGTGAAAAAATGAGCCTGTCTTTCTACTGTTTTTCGCTATTTTATAATACAGCTTCTCCTACTTCTATACGACACCGCTCTGCTCCAGCCATTGGATCCAGTAATTATCTTGAGCCCTTACTAATCTGCTCCCTAGTCTGGGCTTATTACTTCCAAGCCACTAATCTTCGGCTCCCGCTCCCTCTCTCTCTCTCTCTCTCTCTCTCTCTCTCTCGCTTCCAGGTCCAGAAGGCAATCTGGATGATTGCATTCCCACGACCTAAAGTGTCCCCACCACAGCCATTTGCAAGGATAGTATCGGATTTGGTGGGGTGCTAATGGAAGGAATCGAGGGATGGGGGGAGCAGAGTGAAGGGATTAGAGGACGGATATCGGTATAGACCATAGACCTGGAATAAATTTTGTAACTCTATGAGTAAACAATATGGGAACTTAAAACTTCCTAAAAAATAAAAAATTCCGAAAAACGACAGAGCCGATTTTCTAGCAATTTTTGGCGTCAGAAAACGAATTAATTATAGAAATTGAACCAAGGTGCAAATTTTGAAATACTTCACTCATGAATAGGGCGTATGGCTGAAAAGTGGCGGTGAACCGTTAGACGCCAAGTTTTTCACTTATACCTGCTTCGCCTCAAGCAAACTTTGCAGCCCTAATCGATGTTAATGCTGCAGTCCTGTTCGATAGAAGATTGCCCCTCCAGGTAGGCAGATGCGTTTTTATGCATATGACCCGCTATTTTAGGGTCGTTTTGCTCTTCCTGCCCTCGATTCGTAATTCCTCGACAGCTGCGCAGATGTGAAGAAATCTCATTCAACATTCACTTATTTGCTCACGGCATTTTTGGCCTTCTATTTGAAACGCCGATGGCTAGCGCCACCCAATGTTGGCGATTTTTTCTAGTGTATGCGGTTTTTCAGGGGCTCTTTGAGCAGTGCCATTTTTCATAAAACGCGAAAGGTTTGGGTTCTTCACTGTTAGCGGGGGAATCCTTAGCAGCGGGAAAAACCCATTTTATGTTTTTCCACCTACCTGTTGCTGATATATAATGTATTTTTTTCGAGTTCTTAATAGTTTATGGTTGCTAAGAACTTACAAAAATCTATTTAAAAACTCCGAAAACCCGCAATTTTACCATTTTGGTTCATTTTTCATACATACGTATACATATTTGCGGAAATTTTTGTTTATGTTAGATTATCCTGATATTTAACTTAACTTAAATGCTGTAAAAGTAGTTTACATGTTGATATGGGGGGATTTGGTTCCGCCGTCAAAAATCCCCCCCACCGCTAACAGTGCAACCCAAATTCTTCCGCGATCCATGCCAAAGGTCTCCCTGCTGACTCCCTTAGCCATGCGACTCTCCAACATTGCCTGGTAACTTGTGAAATTTTAGGCGATGGACTTCTGCACACTGCCCGTCGAAGTGCAGCATCATGTCCTACGGAATATGGCGATCGAGGACTTCATGAAAACAGCTTTCACCAGCCGAACCATGTCCGAGATAGCCACGGATGCTCCCGATAAGAAATGGGGGTTCTGGCTTCAGCGAGAACGGAACGGGGAACGCTATGACTTGCACATACGAGATGGCGACAGAATTGTCCATCGGATCCACATCAAAAACAAGGCTAGCCTCAAAGCCGTTGCTCATCACGCAACCATTTCGGTTCTTTATTTAAACGAGCATCCCTTTCCGGAAGGCTTTAATATCCGCTGCAATCGGTTGCACCTTGTGTGGGTAGCCGACGACCCACTTCCGATTTTGAAGCGACACAAGCCGGCTGGAAAATACGCGGAAGTCCGTGTGGTACGGACACCACCCAATCCAGAATTGTTCAGCTGGATCAACGAAAACGTCCATGATTTTACTGGCCGAACAGCCGCACCACATTCCGAATACGCCAAATTGAAGGTAGCCCGGATGCAATTTTTCGCGGACGACTGGGAAAACAGGGACTCTTCGGAGTTTACCGAAATTCTCGCGACCGAATGGCTGCGTGGCGAACGGGAAATCGTCGAAATATACACGCATTACCTGCGTTATGAACAGCCGCCACCTCGATTTCCGGCTATTTTGGAGCAGTTCCCCAAGCTTCAGGTTCGTGCTGACCACGAATATGAAACGTGGTACCGCCTCAAGCGAGCCGATGGAAAGCGATTGATCGTCAGATTTGATCATTTGCGAGGCAGAGAGCAGCTTTGCGTGCCTCGCAAATTGTTAGGCTATATGAATAGCGAATTTGAGGAATTTCTGCGCACTACTGATTAATGTGCAATAAATCGTTTTGTGAAAGAGCTTTCTTACAAAAAATGTACGCATTCGGAAAAACCTGAAAAAGTAAGCTCCTTTCGTCTGTCTGTAGGTCTGCCTTGCTCGCTGTGAGAGAGAGAGAGAGGGAGAGAGCGAGGGAGGGCAAGGGAGAGAGCCGGAGAGAGTGTGGGTGAGAGAACGAGGGAGGGCGAGGTAGAGCGCCGGAGAGAGTGTGTGAGAGAGAGTCGGTCGTGAGAGCGAGCGATATAGAGGGGAAGAGATTTAAAAATATTTTCTTAAAAATGAAAAGAACTTGAAAATTAGAATCTGTAGGAAAGGTCAGAGACATATAGGGAAGATCTCCCGAATTCCACAAAAATAACAATGCAAAGTTTTGAATTTTAGCTCTCAAAAACGTCATGAAACTAAAAAATGTCTAAAAAAATTTATTAAACTCACATGCTCGTCATCGATCACAATCTGCTCCATTCGTCCAGTTTTAGGATTATCCAGTCCGAATCAAAGTTTAGTATCTTCTCAGATTTCCACAAAAAGGAATAAACGGGCCAAAATCGAAGTAAAGCCGCCTGGATTTGTGCTTTCGAGATGAGAGGGTGGAGGGTTAGGAGGGGAGGTGCTTCTTGAGGTCTTCTCTCTCTCCAGCAGGGGGTGAGAAGGGATAAACAAGCCGTGTGTGGTCGGAAGGGCCAGAATACGCCGAGATGCTAGAGAACACGGAAAATAAAGAGAGAGGAGAGAGAAGAGAGACACAAACAATGGATGGAAGCACGTAAATAAGCCACCTTCAGAGGTTGGGCTCTTCAGAAAGGTGCCATCGGAAAGCGGGGGGGGGGCTTGTTTTCTAGCAAAGTCAGAGTCTGTTGTTGTGTTTTTGGGGTATTTCGGAGAGTTTCATATTTTGGGAAACTTCCATTTCCTTCGTTAATTTAAATTTCTCGTTAAATGGGGCTTGCAATCGCTTAAAGGGATGCCGACGGCATAATCAATCGGTTACGCGCGGAAAAGAAAATGTCTCTGCGCCTCTCCCCTGGGCGCGCTCTCTGCCCTGTTGGCTACTTGCCAATTTGTTGATGAGGGGGGATCGACACACGCCGTCGGCAGCCCTTTAACCCAGATCGATTCGGCATACTTTCCGGTTAGAACAATATTAAATTCTAATCATATGGGCTTCAAGATGGAAAAATTATGCAAACCTAAAACTATTCAATGCCTATACGTTGCTATTGCATTTTAGTTAGTTTTTTTTAGAAATTTGACGCTTATTGGCAAAAAAATTAGATATAGATAGGATCCAGCTTGGTAAACTTAGTTGTCGATTCATGTGCGTATTTTCTATTTTACATTTTTTGGTAGTTTTAAGAAACAAAAAAATACCATAGTCCTTGACAACTTGAAAAACCTCCTACCTTCGACCCCTTCAGCTCGACGGCTTGGATCACCGGTAATAAGCGCGTGTGACCGGGCATCTTCTAAAAAAATAATTGATTAAATTCGGAAACTTCACACAAAATATAACAATAACTGCAGATTCCGAAACAAAAACGCTAAGCACAACAATTGCGAAAAAAGGAAGCTTGTAACCTCAAAAATCGAGAAAGAAAAACGGTTCAGTACAGAAAATCCAGAATAAACAGAGAACTTTACCACAAAAATGGCCACAAAGCGTAGAAAGCCGCCTAAGACCGATGTAAAGCTACGCAATGCTACTGTAGCAACACGGCGTAAGCCGTAAAATTAAGAATTACGACCTCGCTTTTAGGACCGAGAGGCCAACAGGGGCCGCCCCGACCCCAGAAAATTGAATTAGAAATTGGCTGGACATTCGTTATCCTCTGCTCTCTCTCTCTCTCTCTCTCTCTCTCTCTCTCTCTCCCTCTCTCTTTCTCTCTCTCTTTATCTCTCGCTCTATAGCTACCAAATTATCCGCTTTTTGACAAAATTGGCCGACGCGAGCCGCCAGTGGTGGTTCATGCGGAATTGGGTTCGTTCCCGAAATACGAATTCGGGCCAGCCAGCGGGTGTGAATTGGATTTTTCTGGAGGCGACTTGGTGACACAAACAAAGACACCTTTTTTGGACGACGTCGCGAAGATGGGTGGAGCCGAAAGAATTTGGGGTAAATTGCATAAACTTTGGGTTGCGTGGGTACTCGTGCGGAAAATTTGGTTACTACAAAGCTGTCTGGGTGGTACGTGGTTGGGTCCGGAAAAAAGTTGAGAAAGGAGGACTTACAAATGAGTAATGAGTGACCTAAAAAGAGCACGAATACTTCTTGAAAAGCCTCATAAGATTAACGCAAAGTCTGAATAGCATGAGGAGAATTCAAATTAAATAATAAAGTTTATGTTAAAATATTGAAACATTTAAAAAATTAAATAAGGAGAATTTGCTTCAAATTCGCTACAATTTTCGAAATTCGCACAAAAAGCAAAAAATTAAAAAGCCAAACAACAAATTTTTGAAAACCAAAATGACCAGAATTCGGGTGATTTTTTGCTTTGTCAGCCCCTTGAAACCAAAAAACAAGAACGAGAATCTCGAAATCGCTACTATCCTTTAGTAGATGAAGCCCCAGACGTGTGAAGAACACTTTTTACGAGGTACTTTCGATTTGTTCCGCCTCCCAGGCATCTGGGCCACGGCACGAGGTGTCGCTGCAGTGGGCATAAAATAGGAAACAGAAGGGCTGTATGGAGGTGTCGAAAACAGGAAACACTGGCCTGGGAAAGTGGTTGAATGTTGCGAAATAGAAAAGGTTGAGCCTAACCCTAAGTCCTAGAAAAAGCATAAGCCTAAGTCAACCCCGAGCCTAAAACAAGCCTGAGCCTCCTTTTAAAAATTGCCTTAAAAATGGGCACATGCAAAAAAGCTAGAAAAGGCGGCTAAATGTTTCAAAATAGAAAATGAGCGCCGCGATCGATTTTCATGGCGTTTCTTTCAAAATTAATGCAAGAAAAAAGGCAGCAAAGGGCGCCACAATCCTGCAAAATGCGTGAGTTCCCCCACCTTGATTGTTTGTTTAGAAGCGTAGCCAACACCAGCGGCAAGCAGCTGTTTGTCGTATCGAACTTCAGCAAAC